AATAGCATCATTCAAAAATGCTAAGACAAGTTATAATTCAATACTCGCTGCGCGGGGGATAGTCTATCAAACTAAATTGAATTTCTAAAATTCTAGATCAGCAATTAAATTGATCTCAATAATTGCATTTGACTCACCAGAAGGATGATGACTCCCTACTTCACGTTTAATTGTGCCCACAGAACCTGGGAGCCGTGAATCATTAGATGGCACAAGTACAGGATCTGAAGAAGAGAAACAAGCTGCCAATGTAGATGCTTGGGGTGGCAACACCAAGCTACTACCGGAGCTTGGTGCAGGCTGCTCATGCAAGTCCTCATTTCCAAATTTAACAGTGGTGTTCTTGTTTGCATCCACTGGGGGGACCGAACTTCCCAAATTATCCCCAACCAATGACAAACTTATATCAGGACCACTTCCAGCAGATACATGGGAGGGATGCACAACAATAGTACTTCCAGAAACCACATTGGTAGGACCATCCACAATGACCGGTGCAGAGCTGCAAATGTTATTTAAACATATAAGTTAAATACCAAACATAAACTGCATTCAAGATGAATGGCCACGGAAATTACAAAAAGGCGTTTGGTTTAAAACTATAGCCACCTTGTTACCAGACTTCGCTCTTTATTTTTTGTCTCACGAGAGGTTGGCAAAGAGGGAGCACCACCTTTCTCTGCAACCTGACTGGGTCCATTCTCAGTTCCAGGAGCAGTACTTCTACCACCACCAGCATCTGACAAAAAGTACACAGAATAAAGTTAGCTTGGCTGGTATGACTAAGCTTGGTGGCACAATAAGATTCAAACTGTTACAACAGTAAAGCAGGGTGTAAGCAAACATTTTCAAATCTACAAATCTAAAAACTCAACTCATATTGGGGAGAAGGAGGAGATATAATTTTTCTCTTAATTCCGCCCAAGCCAAAGATACCAAGAAAAAAAAAAAAAAAAAAGGTGTAGCTTACTAGACTAGGCAACCTTTTACGGAACTGTTAAATTAACACAAGGGAAATAGTAGTAGGAGAAAAAAGATATACAGTTATAGTCAGTAGAAATACATAAAATTTTGCTAATCGGCAAACATAATTAAGTCATATAATTGAACCCAGGATTTTGGCAAGGATAAAAAGAAAAAGTACAGGCAATAGTGACCTTCAAACATATTCTAATTTGAGCGTCACTTACCATAACGAGGTGAGAAATTCACCCGACCGCCCCTACCCCCTCGTCCCTGCATTCCAGGTCTCCACCGCGACTCTGCAGACTCTCTGTTGTTCAGATTCTGCAAGATATAAGACAACTAATTGGTATTCAAATTTTAAAAAACCATAATTAAATACGAATCAGGAGGAAAATAATACCAAAGACAAACTACACATATTTGTAAAGAAACCACATTATAAATTTTCTTTTAAAAAAATAAAAAGAGTTGCTTCATGATAGAACATATTAAAAATCCACTCCCTTACACACCAGTTTCCCAAATTAACTGATTTGGCTGACAGTAAAAATCAGCCATGATTAGAATCTCTTACCTCTTTTCTCTTGTCACGTTTCCTTTTAACCTCATGAAATGGATCTGCAGATCGATACGTAAGAGTATTATTTCACTTAAAGAAAAAGAACAAATAAACGGAGCAATAAGTCCATATATAGTTGGAATTTAGATGGTACAAAACCTTGGACAAGAAGTCCACCACAAACATACATCATAGACCTACACAACCTCATTTGGAACATGTGCAACTCCAAGACAAGACTAGACTAAAAACCAGTTAGTGTATAGCAGGCCCTCCAATCTAACAGAATAGTAGAGAAAAAAAATTGAATCCCTAAACCCTACTGATACAGATGCCCACAACAAAGCTGAAAATCCAACCCTATTCCAGAGATCCTCCACCCCAACTCCTGAATAGTCCTTAATTTTCATTTTTCCAGGAAAAGACCACTTCACTGTGCTCACTGAAAAAATATTTCAACAAGGATGTTGCTTTTCAAAAATTTTAAAATAAAACAACACTGAATTCTAAAGTTATTTTCCTTTTGACCTTTATTCCGAACTTACCAAATGGAGGATTAATTCCAAAAACAAGCACATTAACTTCAATAAACCTTTTTTCTTTTAAGGCAAGCTAGAGCTTACTTCTGGACCCCAAAAACAACCACAAGTTTATGCTAGAATTAAAACCTAATTAAAAATTAATCTAAATCTTCTAATTTTACACAAATTTATCTCACTATTGGCATAGTCACTCCGAAATGTCTGAACATGATTAATATGAACCAACAAAGTACGAACTCAATTCCTAAGATGATATCAGAATCCAACTAAGGCACACAAAGTCACGAACAGTGAGAACCCATCATAGCAAATCAAAAACCCAACTCAATTCCCACATAATCAAAATCAAATCAACACACATGAAACAGAAAATAACCAGAACAAAAAAACAAGAACTTTAACACGCGGATCACGTCGAATCACCGAAAGGAGAACAAGGTAACCAAGCCGAGGCAACCAAAATAAAAGGAACAAGGAAAGGAGCAGTCGAAGGTACCCTGGAAGAGAAGCTTCTGAGCCGTCTCGTTGGGATCCATATTACATTCCTTGAGCATTGCATAGATTTCCTCCTCACTATGATTGCCCGTGATCTCCTTGATGTCCTGGATCGTCTTCCTCACACTGTTTGGGATTGAAACCCTAAACCCACCACCACTCATCTTTGCAAACCCCACAAAGCCAAAAGACCCAAGACTGAGTGAAAATGTGGAAATAGGACAAAGGAAACAGAGACTTAGATGGAGAATATGAATTGCTGGGTAGAGAGGATTGGGCTTTAGATGACTCTATATGAACATATACTAAAAGATGAAAATTTTAATATGAAAGGAAAAAAATGAGCTTTTTATGGATATTTGAATTGATCTACGACAAGTAGACAGACAGAATGAGAACGAGAACAAGAAGAAAGGAGGAGGAGAATTGAGAGAGAGAGAGAGAGAGAGAGAGAGAGAGAGAGGGGGAGGGAGCTAAATGAAAGTGTTTTTGGAGTGTAGGGCTTTTTGGTTGATTTGCCTTATTTTTTTGTTTTTTATTTTAATTATTTTCACAAAATTAAAATTCCTTTTTTGTTCCTTTTGATTTGTGTTTGATTCCATTTCTAATATGCAAAGTCTACTAGCCACTGTGCTTTTGATATTTTGATATGTTTTGCTAGGCCTACTCATCACTGTCCACTTTTCAGAATGTGTGTGATCCCTAGCTCAATCATAGTATCATACCACCACCTTTACACTCAGATCCAAAAAAAATACCATCATATTCACTGCTCCACAATGATAGTTCTTTTTTACTTTTCCTAATAAAATTATATTTTACTCTTTTTTTTTTCAAATTTATAAAATGAGGAATTCCAACTTTGAGATCTCTTCTAATATTAAAAAGCTAATTAATTACTGATATTTAAACCTTAATACTTGACAATTCAATATTGTGTTTTTTAATTTGAAAATTTTCTATAAGACAATGTAACGGCGTAATGTACGCGTATTTTCTAAATATTTCAAAAACTGAATAGCTCTCCAATTATTAGCCAATTGGAATATAAATCAAATTAGTACTTGGTGGATGAGTTCGTTTCGAATCCTCCCTTTTCTATTTTTTTTTAAATAAAAAAAGTTCAAGGGGAGATTGGTTACTCTCACCACCAGCGCCATGATTCCCCTTTCTAATATTTAACTCATAACCTATTAGACATACTTTTCTATAAATAAATAAAAAAATTCCTATTAGACATAAACTTTATAGCAAAAAAAAAAAAAAAAAAAACTTTTGACATAAATATTTAATCGTGCATTTGAATAAAACTGCAAAGCATTCGTATTTTCTACATTAAAATAAATATTATATGGACTTGTGAAAATTTGGCGCAAAGATTGATTGTTTAGCTTATCCTAGACCAATTGCAGTTCATGTAATGAGAATATACTTGAGTTGCTAAAAGGTATCGTTTAAGAATATACAGCCACTATGTTAATCTATTAGCAAAGTTAATGTTTCTAAATCATTAGCATTACTGAGTCCTAAATCATCCAATAATGCCCTAACTTTTGTATTAACTTTTTTAACTGTATGATTAATTGGATGGATATTTGGTTTGACCAGTCTATTTCTTTAGTTCGTGCGTTGACCATTTGTCTCCCTTTCATAATTGTTTTAAGACCAAATGGCAAGTGTCAAGTCAATGCAATGTTGATTCAAGCCAAACATCACAATTTTGGAAGTAACGTGTAGGAATAGGAAGGGGAAGAGGGGTGGGTTTGTTTAGGTATGAAATAGTACATTGAATTAATAATGCATCAGAATCTAGTTTGGTTAGATACACGACCAATTAATTCGCTTAGTAACGAGTTGGCTTGATTGGTTTGGAAGTGCTCTTAGAAGATTTAAAAGCGTTTTTAAACAATAGAAAACATTTATGATTGAGTTTCTGAAATGATTTAAAAATATTTATGCGTTTTAAAATTGTTTTTTAGAGAAGCACCCAATATGTGGTTTTTCAGAAAGCACTTAAATTTTTAACAAAAATTTCGACATTATTCCAATAAAATCATTTAAACAAATATTTAGATTAAATTTCATATATTGCTAATTAAATATATTTGAAAGAACTTCACATTGAAAAAGGGTGAAATTTTGTGAGAGATATGCTGTTAAATCACATAATTTAGTTTTTGGCATATGGTTGATATAAAATTATGGGTTGAAAAAAAAAAAAAAAAAAACCCCCATCAACAATTATGTTCACTGCTTATCCAAAAAAAATAAAAAATAAAAAATATGTTCAATGCCAACGTGAGCTTTTGGTCTTGGGCTTGGCCTAAGGCAACATATTGGATCAAAATTGGGCCAATATGTTTGGCCCAAACCCAACCCTAGCTTTGTTTGCTCTATTCACCGCCCTCAAAATTGCCTTGCTTGTTTTGGCACTCTGTCTATTTAGTTATTACTTGTTGGTTCCAAAACCAAAATCGCTGATACATCCCAAAACCCAAACTAAATCAGACGAACATGGCTTCGAAGAAGAGTAACCATAACCCTCACTCAGGCGACGGTGCTAGCCCTGGGTTCGTCCTCTATCTCTCTCGAAAGAGTTGTATTATCTGTATCTGCGATTATAAGCTAATTGGTTATTGTTTTTTTTGTGTTTTTTTTATTGTTGCAGAAAGATATTCATCGGTGGCTTAGCTAAAGACACCACCTTGGGTAAGATTTCTTCTATTAAATTTTATGGGTTTTCTTTAATTCCGCAATATTATGGTTTTTAAGCTTTTGTTAACAGTGTATATCATGATTATGATCCATCAAAATCTTAATGGGTGTTTTTCGTTTCTGAGAAATTGTGGATTTTTGCTTTCCAGTCTTTTGTTTTAGTTTTTTTTTGTTTTTTGTTTTTGGTTTTTTGTTTTGTTTTCAGTTTTTAGTTTTAACAACTTCTCATTGTAATTCTGTATGCAAACTCGGGTGGGTATGTTCTTCAAGTCAGTGAAATCGATGCTTTATGGACTTTGTTAACAGCTTCCAACTTTGCTTTGCTGTGAAATTTTGATGGGTTATCTTCAATTTTCTCATATCTGCGTGCAATGTGTTTGTTGTATTATCCGATCACAGATACCTTTGTTAAGTACTTTGCGAAGTATGGGGAGATAATAGACTCTGTGATCATGAAAGACCGGCAAACTGGTCGACCTAGGGGATTTGGGTTCATCACCTATGCGGATCCTTTAGTTGTTGACCAAGTTATGGAAGAGACTCATGTAATCAATGACAAGCAGGTAATTGTCATCCTCTTCCTCCATTTGTTAATATACTAGCCTCTCTGTGCCCTCCCGCGCCTGCGAGAGGGCTTTTTTTTTCCTACTATGCTCGACTCTCCAAGTGTTTTATTAGTATATAATCATTGCATAAATCACGTGAGAGGTCTTTTATTCTGCCACTCACACTTCGCATGACTTTCCAAGTGTTTAATTAGTACATAATCATTGTGTTTTTTTGCAATATTGAAGACACGATTTCATGCATTTGAAGCTTCGTTCAATTGGTTCAACTGCACATCACTTTCTTCCTTTGCAAGTACAAAATTAAATGAAAAAAAAAAGTTAAGAGAAAAATGAACCCAAAAAAAAAAACTGATCAGTCAATTCTTAATTAAAAAAAAGAAGACAAAAATGAACAAAAACAGATCTGTGCTTCAATTAAGAAAAGAAATGCTACTTGAATGTTTCATTTTCTTGCTACTGGCAATGGCATAAATGTTTGTAAATCAATTATATGTAGCAAGCAGTAGGACTTCATCATATGCCCCTGAGCAACATGCATGACGGCTTTCTATCTCTTCCCCAAAACCTACAAAACAATAGAAGAAAACAAACAACATAAGAAAGCTAGGCTTTGAATCACAACCCATAGCTCTTTCACATGTTTTAATTTATGAAGAAATAACTGCAATGCAACTGGACTGAACCTTTTAACTATTTTTTATTATTTTCCTACAGCTTCTCAGAAGCCAAACAGAGATTTGAGCAAACTAAAATCAAAGGCCTAAATTAAATTGATTAGTTCAACAAATTGTAGAAATATTTGTTGGGTTATTTTCGTTGTTTTCTTGAGAATGAAATCAATGGATATTATATGGATTTGATGTTCCTTTCAATAGCCCGAAAATGGGGAATTGTGCCTTTTATTGGTATGCTATGATATGAAATAGGCATGTTATGGTTCAATTCGTAAATTTTGAGCTTAATTTTAATCAAGTTTTGATAGTTGATATTGCGTTTCTATTCAGGTATTTAGCTCTTATGATGTTTCTCCCGTTAAATTTTAATCGAACTGTTCTTTTCGAGAATTTTCTTTTACGTAACGTTGTGTCCAATAATTTGATTGTGACTAGTGGCATGAATTTTTCACCAGGTCGAGATAAAGAGAACCATTCCAAAGGGTTCTGGACAGGGAAATGATTTCAAAACAAAGAAAATTTTTGTTGGCGGGATTCCAACCACAGTTACTGAAGGTTTGTTGTATTATTTTTGTCCATTGGTTGTATTCTGATGCTATGTTTATTGTTGCACAACTGATGAATTGTTTCTTCTCCCTCAACTTTTTTATTTGAACATCAGATGAGTTCAAAAGTTTCTTTTCACAATTTGGAAAGGTGGTGGAGCATGAGATCATACGTGATCATGTCACTAAGCGCTCTCGAGGTTTTGGATTTGTTGTGTTTGACAACGAAAAAGTTGTTGATAATGTTCTTGCAAATGGAAATAGGATTGATATGGCTGGTACACAGGTGAGTTATTGGCAATGTTCATTTAAGGTGTTCGGTGTATATGGACATGTTATGTATAGAGGAATATTTGAAGGTTTTCCTTCAAAGTATTCTCAGAATTGTAAGAATTTTGTTGTATATTTGTATCATAGTTTCAGTCAACTTACTTTTTCACTATCCATATTTCATCAGTAGTGGACTTAATGCAGAGATTTTCTCCCTCTACCTAAATCCGGGTCTCACAAAAGGTTTGCGAAGTAAAAGCCTAGGTTAACTCACTTCTTTATTGTAGGTTGAGATCAAGAAGGCTGAACCAAAGAAGGCCTCAAACCCAGCACATGTTCCTGCATTTGGTAGTGACTCTAGGGCACACCCTTACAATGATAGTTTCGGTGGATTTGGAGACTCCATGAGTGGTTTCGGTCCTGGTGGTTATGGTGCTGGAGGTTATGGTCCTGCTTCTTATAGGTCACTGGGAGGTTTTGGCAGTAGGTTTGGTGATTATGGTGGATATCCAGATGGTAATGATTTTGGAGGTGGTTTTGGGGGCTTTGGTGGTGGTGGTGCTTTTTCTGGTTATCGTGGAGAGTCGTCATTCGGCTATTCTAGTCGCTTTGGTTCTTACGGTGGAGGGATTGGTGGGGGATATGGTGGTAGTGGGTTAGGTGCATATGGCCGTGAAGCTAGGGGCTATGGTGGTTATGATGGTTCAGGCTCTTCTGATGGTTATGATTCAGGACCTGGTGCTAGTTATGGTGGACCTCGAAGCTTGTACGGTAGTAGGGCAGGTTATGGCGGCAGTAGTCGTTACCACCCTTACGGAAGGTAGACATATACTTAAGCTTTCCAATAGAAGTTGCACGCAGGTTCCAATATCACTCTTTGCGTCCTATGGTTCCATTGTCACTAGGCACTACTGCAAGAGGCACTAAGCTAGAAGATGAGATGAACCATTAGTTTGTCCCTGGGTCTACTCTGTGGCATGGACATCCAAAGTTAGATTATCACTAATTTAGAGACTTTGTCAATTATTGGCTTGTGATTCTAGTTAGGCATCTTTTGTGTGCTCTGTATGAATGATTGTCATCATATATTGAGACTTAGACACTTACTGTTATGTGATCAGCCTAGAGTATGAGATATATTCAAACATAGTTCTATTCTTTTGTTAACATTTCTACTTCTCTCAGACCAAAAAAAAACATTTCTACTTCTCAGTTGCCAAGACTATCAATCAAGATTGCACATCGTGTTTAGATAAATTACACGATTTTAGCGATCAATCTGATCGATGAACCGATTGATAGTTCAATGTTTATATTTATGTGCTTCTCTTGCTAGCAGATAGCACAAGAATTAGAAGAAGACTCTTAGAATCATCTGCTTGGTCATGTAGGGGTCAATTGCAATGTATGTTTTATTACCTCCCACAATGCATGCAAATGCACAACCTTTTTCGTCTACCATCACATGATTAAGTATTTACCATAACAAAACCAATGCCATGATAACATTTCAACAAAGGAAAAATATTTTAACAAGTATTATTTGAGATGCAAATAGCACATGGAGTGGCACTACAGTGAAAAAGTGGACTAAATTCTCCCCTTCTCCTCACATGGAGTTTGATTCACGTAGGAGATAATCTTGAGACAAGCCTATAATATATTAATACTCACCCTCCTAATTAAAAAAAAAAACATTATTTAGTATTTATTATGAATTAAAAAGGATTATTGTAGTGCTTGCCACACTACAATCATACGAAACGAAACGACGAAAACCGAAGTCAATAAAGTCGGATTACAGATTATGTAAATCGCTCACGTGCCACTTTCTCAAGACGTCACAGATTACGCCATGTGTCCAAGCTTGCACGTGACATATGCATAATCAGCATGCTGACTTGTTATTCTTGCGTCTCGTTGTAGCAGGGAGCTCGATTCTGGAAGTTTTTATTTTCTGAAATTTCTCGATTTTGAAAGTTCTAAACTTGGACCGTGCGGTTATGACAAGTAAAATACCGAAACCAACCCTCACTGAGATTGGTCATCATCCCAAAGTCTATTAAATCAGACATGTCGTTTTCAATAATTTGTTAATATATCTGGGGGTATATACGTAAATGCGTCCCCAACCTTTGTCTTGCTGCCACCTTCATATGCTATGCTTTGCTTTGCTTTTTTCAAGCTCAAAGATCGAGCCTTTTTGATAGCATCCAAGGATTCGCTGGCTTTGAACTCAGAGAGGTGAATTTTTCGGCGAACCCACCCCTGTTTTTATGCTATTTTCTTATGGTGATGATCACTGTGTGTTATTTGTGATAGGTGGTGTTTTCTTAAAAGACTAGTTTTTAATTTTGTTGCAAGGTTGATTTGTTCTTGTTGATGAATAACATTTTCACCGTTTTTTTGGGATTTGGTGGTAATTGGGGTTTCTGTTTGACGTTTCACATTCAAATTTGTTCCTTGTGTTAGCTTATAGTGTGGTGGCTGTTCATCTTCATCATGTGCGGCGAGTGAGTATTTTGATCGAACCCCAAAGTTTTGCGGCATGGGGTTTGTGTTGTATTTGCTTTTCTGTTTTGAGAATTTCATTGTTTGTGATAACTCTCTGACTGATCCTACCTAACGATTGAAATGTTCTGACATCTGGGTTTCGATTAGTGGTGGTGTTGCTCTCAGAAGTTTCAATTTTTTTTGGTTTAAATTAGAAATATGATCATCGTCTGGTCAGATATTCATTTTCCCAAAAGTATTGTTCGTTAATGAAGAATCCATTTATTTCCTTAGTTTGATCATGAAGAATACGTTAAGTTTTTATTTTTATTTTTATTTTCTACAGAATAAGATGCGTTTCAAAGCTGGAAGTTGTTTGAAATCTGAATTCTGTTTGATATTTCGTAACCTGAAAGTCACAGAATTGTGATGGAAGTTATCAAATTTCATTGACTATGATGTTATACTTCACATGCGTGCATTTCCTAATTTTATTTATTTTTTTCATTTTGTCTGATTTAGTCATGTAGTGTGTGTGCATATGTTAGTTCTACACATAACTGTAGTTATACTAAAGATTAGACACTGCAATTTTTTCGAACATTAAAATGATTTCCTTATTTAACAGTGTCATCTATTTTAGGTAACAATTTGGTCTATTCAGGAAGGAGTAAGTTCATTTTAATAAACATTCAGTGATGGAGAATTCTGAAGAAATTTTGTTTAACTCACCTGCCCAAGACGATTTGGTCGTTGGAGATCAGTTGTCCGTTCTGAGAGGCTATGGGACATATGGCATTGTTGGTGCTGTTATTGTTGCCGTCCTTATACCTGTCTTGCTGTCCACTATTTTCACGGGAAAGAAAAGGGGGAAGCAAAGGGGAGTTCCAGCAGAAGTTGGTGGTGAGGCAGGTTACGCAATGCGCAATGCTCGGGTAACTGAGTTGATTGAAGTTCCTCAGAAAGGAGCCACAACTGTGGCAGCCCTGTTTGAGCTATCCTGTAAAAAGTATTCACAGAATCAATTTCTTGGAACAAGGAAGTTTATTGGAAGGGAATTTGTCACAGCTAGCGATGGAAGGAAGTTTGAGAAGCTTCACTTGGGAGATTATGAATGGCAAACTTACAGAGAAGTGTTTGATCGTGCTTGCAGCTTTGCTTCTGGGCTTATTAATCTAGGTCATAATGTGGATAGCCGTGCTGCAATTTTTTCAGATACCCGCGCAGAGTGGTTGATAGCCTTTCAGGTCAATTTTTTTTTTAATGCCTGCCTTGTGGTGTCTGTTGTCGTTTCTTTTATTTTTGTCTATGAAGTTGTGAGTGCACAGGCAGTTCTAAAAATAGTTGGTTTTGGATTCCAGGGATGCTTCCGGCAGAATATTACTGTTGTTACTATTTATTCTTCACTAGGAGAGGACGCCCTAATTCACTCCCTCAATGAGGTTGGTGGTAAAATCACTGCTTTCCTGTTCTTCATTAGTTTATTTAACCCATGAACATATGGGTGATTTATATTATAAAAATTACACTGTATACCTAAAAAAAAAGAAACAGAGAACGTGGATGGTCCTCATATAGTGCTTTTTGACAGACCCAGGTATCGACATTGATCTGTGATGCCAAGCAGTTGAAAAAGCTGGCTGCAATAAGCTCAAGCCTAAACACCATTCAAAATGTTATTTATTTTGAAGATGAGGGAAGTTCAGATACTAGCATATCTGGAAGTATGAGCAATTGGAAAGTTGCATCCTTTTCTGAAGTTGAGAAGCTTGGACAGAAGAGTACGGTTCATCCAAGGTTACCTTCCAAAAATGATATTGCTGTTGTCATGTATACAAGTGGCAGTACAGGTCTACCAAAGGTTTGTTTCGCTTCCTGACCCTTATTGCAAATCTGTTGTTTGCTATTTGAGATCCAGAACAATCATATTTTGTAAATCTGTCCATTTGGCCATCTGTAGAAAATAGTATGTTGCTTTCTTTTGGATTGCAGATTCCCAAAGACAATATAGTTTAGAAACTTGAGTACTTAACTACTTATTATCATGTAAGAACTCATATGCAAATCCTTCGCCAAGTATTCAAAAGTCTTATCTATCTGGCAATGTGCCCATTCTCAAATCAACGTTAGTTGAATAATGTACTGTCAAATATTGGAGCATGACTAGTTATTTTCTATTACCCAATGTTGTTCATTTTCCCTTAAATGATTTTAGTGTATAATGATGTAGGGAGTCATGATAACTCATGGGAACATTGTAGCCACTACTGCAGCTGTTATGACAGTGGTTCCAAGTCTGGGTAGCACTGATGTATACTTGGCGTATTTGCCCCTAGCTCACGTATTCGAATTGGCTGCTGAGGTACCTTTGTTTTAATATTTGTATTACTACTTTAGATTTGTTAAATTGTAATTATGATGTGGTTGTCCAGTCTGTGATGCTGGCTGCAGGTTGTTCAATTGGTTATGGTTCAGCATTGACTTTCACAGACACTTCAAATAAAATTAAGAAAGGAACCAAGGGAGATGCAACTATGTTAAAGCCAACCATCATGACAGCAGTTCCTGCTATTTTAGATCGTGTTCGAGATGGAGTTCTGAAAAAGGTGAAGTGGATATTATTCACCTTGTATGTGGTTGTTTAGCATCTGTGATTCAACCATATAGGTCTAGGATCCTTTCTAGGCTAATCACTTTGAAGTATTGTAGGTTGAGGAGAAAGGTGGGCTAGCAAAGAATCTTTTTAACCTCGGATTTAGACGGCGACTGGCAGCTGTAGAAGGAAGCTGGTTTGGGGCTTGGGGTTTGGAAAGGATGGTGTGGGATGCCGTTGTCTTCACAAAGATACGCTCAATACTCGGAGGACGCATTCGCTTTATGCTTTGTGGTGGTGCTCCATTGTCTGCTGAGTCACAGCGGTTCATCAATATCTGCATGGGGTAAGTGCGTTCTCATCTTGAGATAACCAGATAGTTGAACAAATAAGCTCTCTTTTTTTCTTCATAGAGATTAATGCCAATAATTGAAGCGAGCCCTCTATTTGATTAGGGTAAATGCATTTTCTGGGTGGAAAGTGCTTATGTGCTTATAATGCGTTGGGAGTAGTATCTGTACCTTTTTGTTTATCATTGTACAATTCATATTGTCACAAGTGTGCTGTTGATTCTAATCATGTGTAAAATGTAGTTAATTTTGCATGCCATGGTTTTTAAACAGGGCTCCTATTGGGCAAGGATATGGCTTGACAGAAACATTTGCTGGAGCTACATTTTCTGAGTGGGATGACACAACAGTGGGCCGTGTTGGCCCACCCCTTCCTTGTGGCTACATTAAGGTATATTAAATTACTTATTTTCTGGGAAAAAGTCACTGAAAATTTATGACCAGAGCAGGATTTTTTAAAAGGAGAGTATTATCTGAGTGTCATGCCCAGCATATTATTCAGTTATTCTAGCTTTTGTTCTGAGAGTACTGTCTTCCTTTTTATTCTTAGATGATTAGTCCTAATTGACTACTTCCTATGAGTATGAGAATATATGTTTATATCCGACCTTTAGTTTCAATTTCTGCAAGTTTCACTGAACAAAAGAAGACGTGATATTGTAGATCTTATCAGGAATTTATGCGGTATATGTGTGTGATATACTAGGTAGGAT